TCTTCAGCTGTTCCAAGCTACTTCAAGGTTTCATGCTGCAAGGAAATAGTTCTATAAAAAAACAAGAGTGCATATTAAGAAGCCAGTCACGTCAGAACTGTGGAGAGGAATTATGCAGTCCAATCCTCTCTCCCTTCCCTGAAGCCTGCAGCGGCTATGTATCTCCAAGTGCCAGGCATGAGATGCTGTCTGAGTCATACAAGAAATGTAGTTTAAGGTTTGACATATGCCTTACCTCAGTTAGTTATATCACTAAAAAGGTGTTGTGTCTGATTAATTTCAAACAGTCAGCAGAGGTCTCTGATCAGAATGAGAGGAGCTGCCTCCCTACACATTTCTGATGAATACATTTTCTCAAGAGATGTCTTGGGAGCCATTGATCATCCTAGTTAAGCAGCCCTTAGGAATTAGATGACAGCCAATCGTTAGGGAGTGGCTGTGCCTGGGGACTAGTGACTGCGTAGGCAGGGATGGCAAGGGGGCAGATGGCTGTTTGTCTAATATGGCACAGCCAGTTCAATCAATAGATTCCATGCTGGCTGGATTCCAATTCCATTAACCCTGTTCCTCACCACTGAGAATGCTTTGTTCACCCAATAGCTATTTTTTTCCCCAATCTAGTAAAATCTGCTCTTTGTCAGTGGGGAGAGGAGGAGCATCCAGCTTATGCCCGGCTACCTGCTCCACCCTGCTTTTTTGTATCTTACTGAGCCACCCCCAATCCCCTCCACTTGCTAAGTTCTTAAAATGATTCATTTTACTTATTACTTAGAAGGGTGCATAGGCTGCTGGTGGTCCATGGATCAGTTTGAGAATTACTGATCTATCAGTGTTTCATGATCACAAAGACCAGGGTTTTACTAACCTTGGAATTATCAGAAAGCTGCCTGTACATCAATTGGTATTTTTCAGTTAAGTTATCTACTCTTTGGAAATCCCAGCTTTTGTGAAAGATGGCAATGCCATTTCAGATGAACAGGTAACATATCCAATTTTTCACAGGCACACACAATACCTGCTCTCACTGTTTCTGCCAGGCAACAAGCATACTGTCAGCCTTCTTTATTTATTCTGTCAACTATATTGCTCTCACAAGACATAAACCTGCATCACAGCCTGCCAACTAAGCATTCCAAGGCTCTAACTCAGGGCTGCCTAAATTTCATAGATATTAGGGCTGGAAGGGACCTCAGAAGATCATCGAGTCCAGCCCCCTGCCCAAAACTTGTGGCCCTTGGGCTCCTGCTTGGCCATTGCCTCCCACTATCACTCCAGCTACAACGGCAGCTGGAGTCTTCAAGTTCCCCCTTTCCTCAAGGCTGCCCAGGGGGCAGGGCAAGGCAGCAGTGCCATTGCTGGGGGGAGCTGATGGGGAGCCTGGGGCCACACAGTGCAGCAGGGAGGGGTGTGTGATGCAACAGCAGAGGGGTGGGAGCACAGTGCAATTTGTATGTGGGGGGTGGGGGACATCTAGGGGAGCGTGGCCCAGGACTTACCCAACTATGGCCTGCAGGTGTGCAGCCCCTGCTGGCACAGCCTGCAGGACATTTGACCCTGGCTGCTTTTAGAAGTTGGACAGCCCTGTTATAACTTACTAATGGAACCCAGTGCTAAAAGGTCCATTTATCTTCATAAAGCAAATTTAGTGTTAGTCAGACTTCTTGCTCTGTCTGCCTTGAGATCTCTCCCACATGACTATGTGAAATCCACCACAAAAGTGATAGCTAGTTTCACTGTTCATACAATCCTTTATCACCCTGCTACGGCCCATGATTACTTCCAAACATGGTTTTTTGAGATACAGGCAACTGTCCATCTGGAACAGGATAAAGAAATGCTCTGTATGTAGCCATCCCTCAAACTAATTTTTCTAACATCATAAGACAGTACTTTCAGCCATTATCCATGGGGCTGGAATGAAAAACCCGCAGGCTGGGGCTATGCTGACATAGATATGATAGCAGAACACCTTACTGGAGACATGGCATATGATGGCACGATTTTTCTCATGCCTCTCCAAATGTTGGTAGCTTAATTAGTAGATGCCTTCTTCCAAACAGGGGATTTTCACATCACAGCTATGTTGGTTGGGGTGCATTCTTTTCATACCCCAAGCTGATAGCCAGCAACCTTCTGTAGCACAGCCTAAGCATGGGAGGGTATCAAGTAATAAGCAAAAGCTTCTATATTTAGTGCGTGGGAGCAGTCTTCAAAACCCAATCAAAGTTGCTATTGTGAAAACTAGTTGCACATTTCAGTGGTTCTGCTGTTGGTGTTATTCTTTGGAAGATCTGAAGCATGTAGTACACACTGCACTCCTTGGGACAGGAAAATTGCTTTGTATTTAACAGCACTAGCAAAATTGGGCCCGCTGAGGACAGGGAACACCTAGATGTTACAGTAAATAAATATTCCTGTCCTCTGCTCAAAGAAGGCTCTGAGAGCAGAAGGCCTCAATAATGACTAGTGTCCTTTTTACCAAAAGGATCCTGGCACTCAATTCTGAAAATTAATAATGGTGGATCAAAGTGAATTTGAACTCTGGGAGAGATGAAGACCAAAGTCCTCTTCCTGCCTGGCAGTATAGCTTCCTACACCAGCACTGTAGGACCCTTCTTGTGGAAGGGGATATAGGTATAAGAGAGTTGTAATTGATGGGATGGCCTCATCCTAGAGGGCTGTCTCCAGTAGTATCCCCCAGGGATCAGTGCTTGGACCTGTGCTCTTTAACATATTTATTAATGACTTGGATGAGGGGGTGGAGAGCTAAATGATTAAGTTTGCAGATGATACCAAGCTGTGGGGAAACACGGGCACATCAGAGGATAAGGTAAAGATCCAGGATGACCTTGACAGACTGGTTTTATGGACAAAAATGGAACCAGATGAGGTTTAACAGGGAGAAGTGCAGGGTTCTTCCTCCGAGTAGGAAGAACCTTCACCATAACTACACGATGGGTGGTGGCACAGCATCTCAATGAGACCTGGGGGGTCATGATCAACTGGAAGATGAACATGAGCCAACAATGTGATGAGATTGCCAGAAAGGCAAATAGAACGCTGGTGTGCATCAGCTGATGTGTTACCACTTGATCCAGGGAGATGCTCCTCCCAACCTATTTGGCGCTGGTGAGGCCACAGCTGGAGTACTTTGTCTAGTTCTGAGCACTGGACTTCAAGAAGTTTGTGGATAAGCTTGAGAGGGTAGGAGGGCCACCCGTACAATTAGGGGCATGGAGGATAGGCCCTATGAGGAGAGATTCCAGGAACTGGGCCTGTTCAGTCTAAGTAAGAGAAGGCTGAGAGGTGACATGATAGCCACCTACAAGTATGTCAGGGGTGAGTATCAAGATCTAGGGGAGCAACTCTTCAGGAAGGCACCTCAAGGGAGGATGAGAACCAGTGGGCATAAGCTAACAGAGGGTAAATTCAGGCTGGACATAAGAAAGAACTTTTTCTCTGTAAGGGTCACCAGAATCTGGAACACACTCCCAGCAGCAGTGGCACAATCATCATCCTTGAAGGTGTTTAAGATGATGCTGGACAAGCACCTTGTTGACTCATCTGAGTCCAATAGCTTTCTGCCCATATCAGGGGACAGGACTTGGTCTGGCAGGTCCCTTCTGATCCTTCAATTCTATGACAAAACTCGTTACAGGGCTTTAAGCAGTCTTACCTTAAGCACTGCCATTAGATAAAAACTGCAAAAGCTTTTAAGCTATGTAGGAGCCAAAATTTGCTTTTCAAAAGCACCTAAATCATTTAGGAATCAAAGCCCCTGATTCAGAGAATGAGATGCTTACATCGCTTGGGAAAATTTTGCCCCTCAGCTAGGATAGCTGCTGAGAGAGAAAACCAGGATCATAGCTCCTTCCATTTTAAACTACTTTAATACTTGATTAGCATAGTGCACACCTGGGCTTCCAGCTGGTTTGAGAACCATACAGAACTATGATTTAG